TCCTAGGATACTGTCTGGTGCAACAAAAAAGTAGATTAGATGCTATTAAGAAGGCACCTAATAATATATCATGGAAGATGGCAACCATATTAAAGAAAAAGCAGGGAAAAAAAAATGTCATCAGGGAAATGCAAATTAAAATAACAATGAGATACTACTACACACCCATTAGAATGGCCGAAATCTAGAACACAGACAACACCAAATGCTGCTAAAGATGTGGAGCAACAGGAACTCTCATTCATTGTTGGTGGGAATGCAAAATGGTACAGCCACTTTGGGAGACAGTTTAGTATCTCTCTCTCTTTTTTTTAATTTATTTATTTTAGAGAGAGAGAGCATGAGCAGGAGGGGCAAAGGGAAAGGGAGAGAGAATCTGAAGCAGACTCCACATTGAGCACAGAACCTGACATGGGGCTTGATCTCACGACCCTGAGATCACGAGTAATGATTAGTGATTACTAGTGGGGACATAGTTTTTTGAGGGGTGATGAAAATGTTCTGAAATTAGATATAGGTATGCCTTAGAGAAATATTAGGTTTGGCTCCGGACCACTGGACTAAAGCAAATCAAATGAATTTTTTTTTGTTTCCCAGTGCATATAAAAGTTATCATACTATATTGTAGTCTGTTAAGTGTGCAATAACATTATGTCTAAAAAAGCAATGTATATACCTTTTCTTTTTTTTTTTTTTAAATAATCTCTACACCCAGTGTGGGGCTTGAACTCATGACCCTGAGATAAAGAGTAGCATGCTGTACTGACTGAACCAGCCAGGCACCCCACAATGTACATACCATAATTTTAAAATATGGGTTGCCTAGGTGGCTTGGTTGGTTAAGCATCTGACTCTTGGTTTAGGCTCAGGTCATGATCTTGCGGTGGTGGGATCGAGTCCCACTCAGGCTCCATGCTCAGAGCAGAGTCAGCTTTGGATTCTCGCTCCCTCTTCCTCCGCTTCTCCTCCCTGCTCATGCTATTCTCTCTCTCTCAAAATTAAAAAAATAAATAAAATAATAAAATAAGATAAATCAAATCTTTAAAAATACTTTATTGCTTGGGCGCCTGGCTGGTTCAGTCAGTAGAGCATGAGACACTTGATCTCTGGGTTATAAGTTCGAGCTCCATCTTGGATGTAAAGATTACTAAAAATCTTAAAAAAAAATACTTTATTGCTCAAAAATGCTAACTATCAAGTGAACTTTCTGCAAGTCATAACCTTTTTCCTGGTGGAGGGTCTTGCCTTGATGTTGATTGCTGCTGGCTGATGAGGGTGGTGGGTGGTAAAGGTTGGGGTGGTTGTTATAATTTCTTAAAAGAAGACAATGAAGTTTGTCACACTATTTGACTCTTTCTTTAATGAATGACTTCTCTGTAGCATGCAATGCTGTTTGGTAGCATTTTACCCACAGTAGGATTTTTTTTTCAGAATTGGAGCCAATCCTCTCAAACCCTGCCACTGCTTCATCAACCTAGTTTATGTCATACTCTAAATCCTTTGTTGTCCTTTCAACAGTCTTCACAGCATCTGTACCAGGAGTAGTTTCCATCTCAATAAACTACTTTCTGTCTTCATCCATAAGAAGCAACTCCTCATCCATTCAAGTTTTATCATGAAATTGCAGCAATTCAGTCACATCTTCAGGCTCCACTTCTAATTCTAGTTTTCTTGCTGTTTCCCCCATATCTGTACTTATTTCCTCCCCTGGAGTCTTGGACCCTCAAAGTCATCCACGAAGGTTGGAATCAATGTCTACCAGACTCTTGCTGATGTTGCTATTTTGACCTCTTCCCATGAATCACAAATGTTCTTAATGGCGGCATCTAGAATGGTGAATCCTTTCCAGAAGGTTTTCAACTTCCTTTGCCAGGATCCATCTGCGGAATCGCTGTCTATGGCTGCTACAGCCTATCAGATGTATTTCTTAAGTAATAAGACTCAAAAGTCAATTACTCGTAGGGTATTAATTGGCCTAATTTCAATATTGTTGTGTCTCAGGTAATAGGGGAGGCCTGAGGAAAGGGAGAGAGATGGGGAACAGTCAGTGGAGCAGTCAGAATACACACAACATTTATTGTATAGGTGTGGTTCCTGGTGCCCCAAAACAATTATAATAGTAACATGAAAGATCGCTGATCACAGATCACCATTTCAAATATAATAATCATGAAAAAGTTCAAAATATTGTGACAATTACCAACGTGTGATAGAAAGGAAGTTAGCAAATGCTGTTGGGAAAAATGGTGCCAATAGACTTGCTCGACACAGGGTTGCCACAAACCTTCAATTTGTAACCAAAAAAGACAGTATCTGCAAAGTGTAATAAAGTGGAATGCAAGAAAATGAGATATGCCTGTAGTGGTAATGGTTGTACAACCCTGTGAATATACTAAAAACATTGAATTATACACGTTATAAGGGTGAATTTTATAGGATATAAATTGTATCTCAATTTTTTTATAAAGCACACTGACACTGAAGCCAGAACCCTAGATTTAAATCCTATCTTTGCTACTTACTTGCTATATCTTTCCCTGAGTTCTCTCATCTGTAAAATAAGGGTAAAATGTGATACCTACCTCATAGAGTTTTGTGAGCCTTTAATGAGTTAATACATGTAAAGTCCTTAGTAAACTGTTAGGCACATGTAGGTGCCAACTCAGGTATTAGCTTTTGTATACGAAACTGAACCAAAGTTCACAGAAATATATTTACCCTACTACCAACAATGCAGTTTTTTTTTCGATTTTATTGATTTTAAAAGAAAGAGAAATAAATGTTAAGATACAGTAAATTGATTTCACAGCCCTCTAATGCCCCTAAGAAAACTCTGTTTCCAGTGCTTTCCCTGCTCCCTCAGCCAGCTCCTGCTCATCCTTCGGGTTTAGCTTAGAGTTGCTTCCTCAAACAAATCTTTCCTAATTCCCCAGACTAACTTAGATTTTCCTATTAATGTGCTGCTATTAGCACCTTATACTTAACCTCTGTAGCACTCATCCCAGTTATAATTTTTTTTTAAACATCTGTCTTCCCCACTAGATTATAATCTTCATGAGGGAAGGAACTGTGTCTGTTTATTCACTGGTGTAGCCTTATCATTAAAGTGCCTACCAAATAAGTGCTTAATAACTATTGACTCATAGCATAGGAAGAGCTGCAAAGAAGGTATTGGGAAGGTTTCAAGAAATGTAGCTGGAGTGCCTAGCTGGTGACTGAGTGATACAGTGCTGATACTATGCTCTGCACTCAACCTATTCTAGATATGGTAATTCCCAAGGGAATCTTAACTACTTTACATTTCATCCATAGGGAGAAGGACTGCCTAACCTAGGCACTGCTAAAATGACTGCTGATGTGCAATACTGAGGGCATCTGTTACTATCTGGACAACTTGACCTGCTGTGATAACTATGTTAGCTGATTAACATAAGTCACGTTATAGCTGCAGAGGTTGCTGGCATTTTGGTTATTGGAGTGCTGAGATTATGTCTTCAGTTTCTCTCTCAGAGAGTTCTGTCCTTTAAAAAAAAAAAAAAAGGTTTTGAGGGGGCGCCTAGGTGGCTCAGTCAGTTAAATGTCCGTCTTTGGCTCACGTCATGATCCCAGGGTCCTGGGATGGAGCCCTGCGTCCGACTCCCTGCTCAGGGAGCGTCTACCTCTCCTTCTCCCTCTCCCCCTGCTCCTGATCTCTCTCTCTAAAATAAATAAATAAAATCTTGAAAAAAATTAAAAAAAAGGTTTTGAAGATGTTGTATCATATTTCTATTTGTGTTTGATTTTGTGGGAGGGTGGCAGGAATGGAGGAAATAATTCTCATCATTCCCTTGGCCTTTGAGCCTATGTTTTTATTTACTGTTTTGGTAATGCTCAAGGGATAAGATACAATACAAAAAGGTTAGAAACTGGGGCGCCTGGGTGGCTCAGTCAGTTAAGCATCGACTCTTGGTTTCAACTAGGTTATGATCTCAGGGGCATGAGATTGAGCCCCACGTCGGGCTCACACCAAGTCCGCTTGAGATTCTCCCCCCCCACTCCAACCCCTGGTGTGCATGTGTGCACTCACTTGCTCTCTCTCAAATACATAAATAAGTAAATAAAATATTTTTTTAAAAGGTAAGAAACTATTTTTTATAATTTTGTAAACTAATCTTGTTATTAAGAATAAAGAAGAAAGGGGCGCCTGCCTCAGTGGGTTAAGCATCTGCCTTCAGCTTAGGTCATGATCCCAGGGTCCTGGGATTGAGTGCTGCATCCGGCTCCCTGCTCAGTGGGGAGCCTGCTTCTCCCTTTCCCTCTGCCACTCCCCCTGCTTCTGTTCTCTTGCTCTCAAATAAATAAATAAAATCTTAAAAAAAAAAAGGGAAGAAGAAAAACTAATAAAAGTAGGCTTCTAGGCTTTGATTAAATTTGCCAGGAAACCAAATAAATTGTTTTTTTTCTGAAATTAGAACATCTTTAAAGTATTAGACATAGTATTCATATGTCTTATTATAATAGTGTAATTTTTAGTCACAAACAGAACCTGTATTGATGGAATATCACAATTTCAAGGCCAGAGAAGCAAGAAACTAGGGCCAACTGAATCAGATTAGGTAACATTTATCCAACTAGTAATTCCACTATTTCTTCCTCAGTTTACTACCTTGTCTTTTTCTCTCATTCTCTTTTTGTTTCCTTGGCCCTTAATCCCTTTGTCTCACACCTTAACCACTTTCTACTCTGTGACTTCTGTCATCTTTGAAAATTACAGTGACAACATATTTTGGTTTTGATTTTTTTTTTTTTTTTCAAATATGAAAGTACCCTCAGCATAAGACAAGTTTCCCGGTCCTTGCTACGGTGATTATGTGCAGCAGTTGCCGTGTACGAGGTCTTTGCTTGTAAATGCTCCTCTATCTTGAGGTCCTAGTTTGCTCATTGTTGAGATTTGTAATTGGTATGCTGGAATTGTTTTTAAAATGACAGTAGTAAGTGCTTTATTTGAATTATTTCCACAGCTGGTATAAGGCTAATTATAGTATGGCCGAGAAGTTAGACTGGGGCCGAGGAATGGGCTGTGACTTCGTCAGGAAGAGCTGTAAATTCTGGATTGACCAGCAGAAACAAAAGTAAGAACACATTTCCTCATTATATCTTTGATAACACAGTTGATTTCTGCTATTGTTCTTTATTCCTGAACGTAAAATGTCACTATTTTGAAAATATGGTCTCTGGGCGCCTGGGTGGCTCAGTTGGTTAAGCGACTGCCTTCGGCTCAGGTCATGATCCTGGAGTCCCGGGATCGAGTCCCGCATCGGGCTCCCTGCTCAGCAGGGAGTCTGCTTCTCCCTCTGACCCAAACCCCTCTCATGCTCTCTCTCTCTCTCATTCTCTCAAATAAATAAATAAAATTAAAAAAAAAAAATATGGTCCGAACAGTTCAATTTCAAAATGTACAGTAATGTATAGTAATGTATGGTAATATAATAAGTAGCTACATTATTGTTTTAAATCATATACGAAAAGAATCTACAATGTGGGAGCCAGAGCCCTAAGCATTTCTGTTCAATTTATAAGTAATAAATTATATACTGTAAAATTTTTGCACATTCTATCATTCTTACTGTTTTCTTCAGAGAATGCACTCATAAACATAGATGCAGCTGTTGATTGAGTATCCAAAAACATGAAGATACTTTTGAATAATGGTTCTCAAATCTGGATGAATATCAGAATCACCTAGCAAACTTTTTAAAAATACATTCTTCAAGTTTGGGGGATACACATACCCACACATTCATATGTTTATGCATATTTTTTTCTTTTTTTTTAAGTAAGCTCTATGCCCAATGTGGAGCTCGAACTCATAACCCTGGGATCAAGAGCCTCACACTTTAGGATGCCTGGGTGGCTCATTTAGTTAAGCAGCTGCCTTTGGCTCAGGTCGTGATCCTAGGGTCCTGGGATCGAGTCCTGCATTGGGCTCTTCGCTCAGCAGGGAACCTGCTTCTCCCTCTGCCTGCCACTCCCCCCTGCTTATGTGTTCTCTCTCTCTCTCTGACAAATAAGTAAATAAAATCTAAAAAAAAAAAAAAGCCTTACCCTTCATGGCCTGAGCCAGCCAGGTACCCCTATAAATATATATCTTTTAACTTTTTATTTTGAGATAATTATAGATTCACATGCAGATTTGAAGAAATATACAGATTCCATGTATACTTTATCCAGTTTTCTTGATTGGTAACATCTTGTAAAAACTGTAGTACAATAACACAGCCAGGATATTGACATTGATATAATCAGATACAGAACATTTCAGTTACCACAAGAATCCTTCATGTGGCCATTTTATAACATACCCACTTCCCTCCCACTCCAGCCCCTCTTAAGCCCCTGGAAAGCACTAATCCGTTTTTCATTTCTATAATTTTACCATTTAAAGAATGTTATATAAATTGATTCATTCTGTATATAACTTTTTGTGATTGGCTTTTTTCACTCCACATAATTTTCTGGGTCATGTATATCAGTAGTTTGCTCAAGTTAATGGCTGAATAATATTCCATGATATGGATGTAGCAGTTTGTTTAAGCATTCACATGTTTTGTGTTGTTGTAAAGATTTTATTTATTTGAAAGAGTGAGAGAGAAAGATCACAAGGAGGGGGCAGGGGTAGAGGGAGAAGCAGACTCCTCCCCGCTGAGCAGGGAGCCTGATGCAGGACTCATCCCAAGACCCTGGGATCATGACCTGAGCTGAAGGCAGCTGCTTAATGGACTGAGCCACCCAGGCACCCTAAGCATTCACATGTTGAAGGATATCTAGGTTGTTTCCAGTTTGGGGCTATTATGAATAAAGCTGCTGTAAACATTTGTGTACAGGTTTTTGTGTGAACATAAATCTTCATTTCTCCAAGATAAATGCCAAGGAGTGCAATTGCTGGGTCATATGGTAGTTGCAAGTTTAGTTCTCTAAGAAACTGCTGACCTCTTCTAGAATGGCTATACCATTTTATATTCTACCAGCAATGTATGAGTGATGACAGTTTCTCCACATCCTTGTCAGCATTTGATGTTGTCACAAATATATGTCATAAAAATATTTTTTATTTTAGTTATTCTGAAAGATAAGGTGATATCTCACTGTGGTTTTACTTTGCATTTCCCTAATGGCTAATGATGTTGAATATCTTTTCATGTGCTTATTTGATGTTTGTATATCCTCTTTGATGAGATATCTCTGCCTGTCTTATGCCAGTTTTCTAATTGCATTGTTTGCTTTTTTTTTTTTTTACTGTTGATTTTTGAAAGTTCTTTATATATTCTAAATACTAGTCCTTTGTCGGATATGTGGTTTGCACACATTTTCTCCTAATCCATAACTTTTCTTTTTATTCTCTTAATAGGGTCTTTTGTAGAGCAAAAGTTTTTAACTTTGGTGAAGTCCAAACTATCAGTATGTCCTTTTCTGAGACATACTTTCAATGTCAAGTGAATGGCGAAGTCCTAAATCTCAAAGATATTCTTGTATTTTTTTGTTCAAAAATTTAATTGCTTTAGGTTCTATATTGCAGTCTGGGATCCATTTTGAATTAATTTTTGTATAAAGTGGGAGACTTAGGTCAAGGTTCATTTTTTTTGTGTATGGCTGTCCAATTGCTCCAGCACTGTTTACTGAAAAGGCTATCTTTCTTTTATTGACTTGCTTTCTTATATTTATCAAAGAATCAGTTGGGTGTATTTATATGGGTCTGTTTCTGTGTTCTTGCTTCTGCTCCATTGATCTATGTGTGTGTCACTCCATTAATACTACACAGTCCTTGATTACTGTAGCTATACTACGTGTTAAAAGTGGGTAAGCTGATTCTTCCCACTTTATTCTTTTTTCAAAATCATCTTAGCTCTTCTAGTTCCTTTGCCTTTCATACAAATTTCAGAATAACCTTGTCTACAAAAAAATTTTGCTGGGATTTTTCTATGAACCGTGTTAAACCTATATATCAATTTTAGGAGAATTGACATCTTAGCTCTGTTGAGTTTTTTAATCCATGGGCACAATGGAGGGGGGAACATTTAGTTTTTCACAACTAAGTATAATGTTAGTTGTAGGTATTTTGTAGATGCTCCTTTTTAAGTTGAAGTTCCCCTCTTTTACTATTTTTTTGAGAGTTTTTATCATGAATGGATGTTGACTTTTGCCAAATGCTTTTTCAGCTTTGGTTGATACAATCATGTGATTTTTTTTTTTTTTTAGCCTGTTAATATGATGGATTACACTGATTGGTTTTCAAATATTAAACCAGCCCTGCATTGCTAGAATAAGCCCCACTTAGTCATGGTATATAATTATTTCTATATATTGCTGAAATCCATGTACTAATACTTTATTAGGGATTTTTCTGTACATATTCATAAAGAATATGGTACTGCCTTTGTTTCTTTTTTGTACTGTCTCGGTTTTTTGTATCAGGGTAATATTAACTTCATAAAATGAATTGGGAAGTATTTCCACCTCTTCTATTTTCTGGAAGAATTTGTGTACAGTTGGTGTTGATTCTTCTTTAAGTATTTGGTAGAATTCTCCAGTGAAACCGTCTGGGACTGTAGATTTCTCTTTCAGGAATTTCTAAAGTATTAATTCAACTTCCTTAATATTTACAGAGCTATTGATATTTATCTATTTCATATTGGATGAATTGTGGTAATTTGTGTCATTGAGGTATTTGTCCATTTTGTCTAAGTTACTAGATTTATGTGTACAGAATAGTTTGTAGTAGTTCCTTACTATTGTTTTAATGTCTGTAAAGTGTGTAGTGAGATCCCATATCATTCCTGATCTTGGTAATTTGCATCTTCTCCATTTCTTTTTCAGTTTTGCTCTCTAGCAGAATTTGTCAGCATCATTGATCTTTTTAAAGAGCTAGCTTTTTGTTTCATTGATGTCTTTTGTTTTTCTGTTTTCTAATTTATTAATTTCTATTCTTTATTATAGCCTTCCTTATGCTTGTATTTGTTTTATTTTTCTCTCTCTAGGTTCTTGATTATTGATTTGAGATGTTATATCTTTCTAACAGATGTATTTAACACTATAAATTTCCCTCTCAGCATTTCTTTAGCTGTGTCCCACAAATTTCAGTATGTTGTTCATTTTACTGATAATTAAGAAGTTTGAGACAAGTGACTTGCCTAGAGTCATATAACTGATGAGGGACTTTAGCTTCTCTCTTTCCAAGTCCAGTGCCTTGTCCACTAAATCACAGGTACTTCTTGTGAAGATGTTATTCGTATCTTTTCTCCCCTGGGTTAGGTCTCGAAGCAGTTTAAGTCAGTTTCTACTAAGGAGTCTGACATCTGCGTTATAATCCTGCCAAAAGAGCTGCTAATAAACAGTATCAGGAAGCACCTGCAGCCACTTTGGGGGCAGCTAGTTCTATCCAGCACTACAACTTGGTCTGCTAGCGTAGTACTTCCCAAATTTTGCTGTGCATTAGAATCATTTAGAGATTTTTTAAAATCTCCATACCCACATTACAGCCCATCCCAATTAAATCAGAATGTCCGGAAGTGGGAACCAGACATTGGTATTGTTTTTAGGGATCCCTATAATTCACTTTGCTGCAAAGTTTGGGAACTGCTGTTGCACTGTGTTAAAGGAAGTATGTAATTAACATTGCAGCTACAAGAGCTTAGAGATTTTCTTCTTTTAACAGCTGCAACTCTGTTCTGCTTTAGGTCCTGATTATAGGATCACCTAAAACCAAAAACAGAAGGGAATTTCCTCTTCTCCATTCTTCAAAACTAAAACTTTTGGTCCCCTGAATTCTCTCCTTTTAGCCATAAGCCAGAGGTTGGCAAACTTTTCTGTAAAGGGCCAGTTAGCAAATATTTTGTGTACACAAAATAAGGTTCTATGTTTTGAGACAAGTGGTGCATTATTACCTAACTCCTCTTCCTAGTTTTTCAGTCATAATAGTCTCTGTTACAACTACTCAACTCTGCTTTCATACATCATGAGCAGCCCTAGACAAGATGAATGGGCATGGCCATGTTACAGTAATACTTTATTTATAAAAACAGTTGTAGGAGAAACATAGAAACCAAAAAAGCAGTTATGGGCAGGATTTGACTCAAAAATTGAAGTTTGCTAATCCCTGTCATAAGCATTCAAATGTCCCACTTTTGAAACATCGACGTCCAAAAGTCTTTATAGCACAGAAGCCAACTTCTAGTACCATAGGCCCAGTCTGGCTATATCCCTGAGTTATCTTAGATTCCAGTATGACCATTATTGAGCTCAGGGGCCAGTGCTTAACTTCAGGTGTGACACCTCTCCTTTCTTCATTGTTGGGTGACTGGTGTGAGGAGAGAACAGTTGAGCGAAGGCAGAGCCTTACTCACTGGAATCATTTGAATCTATGTACACACAAAATAAGGTTCTTTCTATGGTACCACTAGCCACCTGTGGCTATATAAATTTATATTTAAATTAATTAAAGTTAAATGAAATTTAAAATTCAGTTCCTCAGTTGCACTAGTCACATTTCAAATGGTTAAGAGCCACTATATGATTACACATATTGGACAGCACATTGCAGAAAGTTCTATTAGGCCGAACTGCTGTAGAATTATATGCCATGAATCTTGAACAGCTCTAACTTTGGAACTTTTTAAATCAGTATTTTTTAAGCTCCTTACTCCTCTTTATCCATTTAGGCAAAACTCATTTTAATTAATTTAAGGTAAATATTATGTATTGTTTTATTTTAAAGAAAAAGGAAACGAATTTCATGGTATCGAGAAAGTGATTTAATAAGAATTACTGGTCATATACATTGGAAACTTTATCATAGAAAGTTATAAAATTGCCTTATATAAAGATTTTATAAAAGTGAAGTTACATTTATTGAGTAACTTGTATGTGCTAGACACCGAGTGCTGTATAGTTGAAGCTCAGGAAAATTAAGTCAATATCAAATATCAAATAAGCTGGTATTTGAAACCAAGCCTGTGTGAAGATTTATAGACCTTTGCTTTCCTATTACACTGTGCTGCTTCACATTTACCAAAGACTGTGGTAGGTCTTTTACACATTTTATCTCAAGAAGCTGTAATTCCCCTAAAAATGTTTTATTGCTATATTTGTTAACTTAAATGAAGCAAGTATCAATTTTCCTTAAAATAGGAAATCTAACCTAGGCTTTTTTCCCCAACAAGCATGTGGGAGAAGAGGAAAAATAGCAGTAATCCTATTACAATTTGGTAACCAGTCTTAACAGGATTTATATTGTTTAAGAATACTGGAATTTCATTTATAACATTACTGTTATGACATTAATATAATTTGTATTATAATTACCAATGACATTAATATAATTTGTATTATAATTACCAATAAGTCAACTAATTTTTTTTTTTTTTTAAAGATTTTATTTATTTATTTGACAGAGAGACACAGCGAGAGCAGGAACACAAGCAGGGGGAGTGGGAGAGGGAGAAGCAGGCTTCCCGCTGAGCAGGGAGCCCGATGTGGGACTCGATCCCAGGACCCTGGGATCATGACCTGAGCCGAAGGCAGACGCTTAACGACTGAGCCACCCAGGCACCCTAAGTCAACTAATTTGAAGATTATTTTTACAGAACAATGCGATAGATTCCAACGTCTTTGGAAAATTACAAGACATCTTTTTCCAAATTGTACTTTCAAGATTAAGTTTAACAGAACAGAACAACTTGTAATAATTAGGAGTATTCACACAATCTTCATTTTGCACATGAAAGCAGGATGTCTTGTGAATGTGTTCAGTTTAACAAACTGTCCAACAAGAGTCTTTGAATTATATTATGGCATAGAAAAAATTCACTCTTTGTAGCTTCAGGACAGAAGGGTATCATCTCCATCTCTTTCTGAGACTCCATTATATTGATTATGAAGATTTGCATTTCCAAGCAGTATCAGGAATTTCATTATTTGTCTTTATCATGCAGATCAGGCCTGCAGAACTCCATTTTACTGGCAAAAGTGGAGAGAAAGAGATAAATAGAATTGTGTTTAATAATGGTGGGATAAAGTTACAGTGCATGTAGCATTAATCGTTCATATCTACGTTAAGCATTTCTTTTTACACTTTTAAAAATAACTTCAGGGGCGCCTGGGTGGCTCAGTTGGTTGAGTGTCTGCCTTTGGCTTGGGTCATGATCCCGAGGTCCTGGGATCGAGCCCCACATCGGGCTCCCTGCTCGGCAGGGAGTCTGCTTCTCCCTCTCCCTCTGCCTGCTGCTCCCCCTGCTTGTGCTCTCTCTCTCTCTGTCAGATAAATAAATAAAATCTTTTAAAAAATTAATTAAAAAAAATAACTTCATAACCTGATTCAACATTTAATATTAAGCTATTTAAGTATACGGAAATGATAATAGAAAAGACAAGCTCTAAAATGGATTTGTTATATTTTCTTTAGAGTTTGATACCATGGTGTTTATCTTTATGTGCAGGAGGCAGATGCTGAGCCCTTTCTGTGACACACTCAGAAGTAATCCATTGCAGTTAACTTGCAGACAGGACCAGAGAGCAGTTGCAGTGTGTAATTTGCAGAAGTTTTCAAAACCTTTACCTCAAGAGTACCAGGTAACACTTGTTTTGGGCAATTTTAGAAATCAACTCAACTTTTTAAAGAGAAGTCTCCATTTTGAATTAGAAGAGTGAATTCTCTTAAGGTTTTCAACTTGTGAAACTTATGTTTTCCATAAGTTAGAAAAAAATGAAGAATTCTTACAATTCTTTAAAGCCAATTTGCTAATCAACAACAATTAATATCTAGCAATGCCTTGTGGTAATGGTAAAAAGCATTTAGAATATTTATTGGATCTATTTTTAAGTGGTTTGTATTTTTTTCTAATCGTTTCCAAAGTCTTCATGTTTAATTTCCTCTAATTTACACAGAAGAACAAGGTTCTTCAAAGAAAATAACTGAGCTACTCTAATCCAATTAATTAAAAGTCTTGGAAGTTCTACTTTATAAAGGTTTGACACATGGGATCTAAAAGGTGAAGGAGGGGCGCCTGTGTGGCTCAGTCAATTAAGCATCAGACTCGATTTCAGCTCAGGTCATGATCTCAGAGTCCTGAGATCCAGCCCAGCATTGTGCTCCACACTGGGCATGGAGCCTGCTTAAGAGTCTCTCTCTCCCTCTCTATCTGCCCCTCTTCTCGCTCTCTAAAAAAAAAAAAAAAAAAAAGGTGAAGGAAATGGTCCCACACATTCAGTCTGAGTCTCTGATTGGAACTTTAAGTTTGTTGTTGCAGTAACCATCTCTAAAACGCCTCAGTTCTGCCTGCCATTTACAAAGGATTCTGTAATCAGAAGTGTGATCTCAGAAGATAATTTAAAATGATTGCTGCTGGGGCACCTGGGTGGCTCAGTCGTTAAGCATCTGCCTTCCGCTCAGGTCATGATCCCAGGTCTTGGGATCGAGCCCCGCATCAGGCTCCCTGCTCCATGGGAAGCCTGCTTCTCCCTCTCCCACTACCCCTGCTTGTGTTCCCTCTCTCACTATATCTCTCTCTGTCAAACAAATAAATAAAATCTTTAAATAAATAAAAATAAAATGATTGCTGCTGAATTTTGAGCTTCCTGCATATGTTTATGATCCCACTGAATGCTTCAGATACCATAAGATGGCAACTGTATTTTTAGGCATAGTAATATAATTCAGGGAGTTGGTATAAATGTGAAATCTTTCAAATTTATCTGGTGCCTTATTCCTTTGGTATTCAAAGTATTTTTTTTAAGATTTTATTTATTTATTAGAGAGAGTGTGCATGAGCGGGGGCGGGGGGAGGCAGAGGGAGTGTGGGCAGGGGGAGGCAAAGAGGGGGAAGAGAGAGGGAGAAGCAGATCCCTCCTGTGCAGAACCCCAAAATCATGACCCGAGCCGAAGGTAGACACTTAACCGATTGAGCCACCCAGGTACCCCTCAAAGTATTTTATATATACGATCTCATTCATATTATCACAGTTTTATTTTTTTCAAGTTTGTCAAAACAACACGTAAATTAAGTCTTCTAGAACACTTGAAGTACATTATATTTAAAATATCTTAATTCTCTGGATCAGTTTTGTGTTTTGTCAACTCTTAAAACTCTTCCTATTCATCTTTTTAAAACACTAGTCAAATTTGTCATCTAGTAAAAAACTTGAATATACTTACCTTGCTTATTTCTAAAACTACAACAACCTTGAAATAGCCCTCAGGTAGTATATTACTGTCTTTATATTCTATTATATATGAAGAAAAGTACACTGATATCTTTTTTATATTACGCAGCATTAGAGGGTTGCTATAAATTGCTTGTGGACTTTGTTTTTATTATACAGAATGTTTCGTACTTTCCTGTCTTCCTAATAATTTTTTTTTGTAGTACTTCGATGAACTAAGTGGAGTACCTACAGAAGATTTGCCTTATTATGGCGGTTCAGTAGAAATTGCTGACTACTGCCCTTTCAGTCAGGAATTCAGTTGGCATTTAAGTGGTGAATATCAGCGCAGCTCAGATTGTAGAATATTGGAAAATCAACCAGGTTAGTAGTCTAGTGAAATGAAATGTTCTGTGTATATTAAAATTATATATCAGCAACATAAAATAGGGATTAAGGGCACAGACCCAGGAGCCAGACTGTCTGAATTTGTATTATGGTTCCACTGGTATCCATTTTTTAGAGGTAATTTAACTTCTCTGTACCTCAATTTCCTCCTCTGTGCCAAGGGGATAATAATACCTATCTTACAGAGTACTTGTGAGAACTAAATGAATTCACATAGTAAATGCATAGAACTAGGACACATGACAAGGATTGTTAGCTGTTTAGATACATTTGCACATGTGTGCACCCTGCTTTTTTGTAGTACCTTACATCTGCATGACAGTTTTCATTTGCAGAGCACTTTCATTTTTATCATTTCATTTTATTCTTCTAAAAACCTGATGAGAGACACAGAGAACATATTATTGAATTTCACAAGTGAACGAAGAGACACTTAATAATACAATTAATTGGTGCCAGTGTAAGATCCTCCAATGTAGAGCTCTTTTTATTAAATCATATTAGGTATCCTATTTTTTTCTCTTCTGAGGAGTGTGCATTTTATGTAATTTAGAAGTAACATGTCATTCTCCAGATATCAGAATATTGTCCCATGGCTAGTAAGATATAGTGCCATATTATTTATTCCCTTTTAATACACATAAAGAGTATGATAATGGGTATTCACCTTTGTAAACAAACTTATCACATCTAATATGTTAATAAAGAGCAATAGGTAGTTTTTCACTCTGTGGTCATAAAAATTTCTAACCTGGTCCTTTTTTTTTTAAATTCAATTAATTAACATATAATGTATTATTTGTTTCAGGGGTACAGGTCTGTGATTTGTCAGCCTTATATAATACCCAGTGCTCACTACAACACATACCCTCCCCAGTGTCCATCCTCCAGTTACCCCAAAACCTGGTCCTTTTTATTCCCAATTCCATACTTTATTACAGACTCTGTTATTTACATTTTAAATTTCCATAATGGTTTTTCCTTTTGTTTTTAAACGTGGTAGATTTAACTGGATTTGTACAGTCATTTCTTTCATCACTCACCTATTTAATAAATGTCTAAAAACTTATAACTATTCAGCAGTTCCATGTTAAAGCCAAGAAATGCAGGGATCTGTCAATTATGGGTTTGCCAATGATATAGTATCACAGTTTATTGTTTTAGAGCTGGAATTGACAAACGTTTATTGTAAAGAGAACGTAATTTTTTTTTAGAAAAATAGTAAATATTTTAAACTTGGGTCATGTGGTCTCTGTTGCAATTACTGAACTCTGCATTACAGTGTGGAAGCAGTTATAGACAATGTGTAAATTAATGGCAATGTTCCAATAAAACTTTATTTATAAAAACCTTCAGGTAGCCTTCAGGATTTGGCCTGAGGGCTGTAGTTTACTGACCACCCCCTTTTCTTTTTTTGACACTGATCACTTTGTTTTTCAAGGACTTTGAAGTATTCATAAATATAAAAAAAGTTCTCTTTTATTCTGTTTTACATTTTCTTTCTCTGCTTATATAATTAAGATTTTTCAAAACTGACATAAAATACCTATCTTTAAGGACTGTGCTTTCAAAAAAGATGAAACTTACTTGTATTAAGTGTAAAGAGAACAAATTATTGCTAGGGCTTAAGTGCCTCATTCCTTTGTCCATTAGCTATTTAGAGGTCATTTAATTCACCTTATACCTCTGCATGCTTATGCTCAATCTGAGACTAGATCAGCATGTTATGTATGGACCTCCAGGAGATAGCGTACGATGAAAGTACAAGAAAACTTTGCAAAAACTTTTTGCAGCACCCCAAAAAAGCCTTCATTAGATAAATCACTTGGCTTCATCTGGGAGGTGACTCCTATTTAGACTACCAGTAAAGATGATTCTTCGTACCATTTCCTCTATATATTTAATTTAGATACTTTAGGCCCAGTTTTTTTTGTTTTTTTTTTTAAAGATTTTATTTATTTGACAGAGAGAGAGATAGGGAGAGCAGGAACACAAGCAGGGGGAGTGGGAGAGGGAGAAGCAGGCTTCCCACCAAGCAGGGAGCCCAATGTGGGGCTCGATCCCAGGACCCTGGGATCATGAACTGAGCCGAAGACAGACGCTTAACGACTGAGCCACCCAGGCACCCCTAGGCCCAGTTTTATCTCCTGTTTTTGATACAATAATTTCCTCCAACTAAGTCCTTTATTGAGAACCCAGTTTGATTTTGGAGCCCATTTCTCTTGATTTTTTTTTAATGGAAAATTTCCATTAAACATTTTCTTTCTTTAAAGCAACTTTTAACCATAAGAATGGAATGCTTCAGCTTCTTGTTCTTTGAGCCAAAAGTCAGTTTTTTTTAAGAGAAATTCTCTGGTTTGCTTCAGATCGTTTTAAAAACTATGGTGCTGAAAAGTATGGACCTCATTCAGTTTGTCTAATTCAGAAATCAGCATTTGTCATGGAAAAGTGTGAGAGGAAGCTGAGTTACCCAGACTGGGGGAGTGGATGTTATCAGGTAAACTATAAGATTGTTAATAATTATTATCAAATATTACATAATTTTATCTTGTTATCAATGGTTTTTATATTTTAAAATACATTTTATATTTTTATATAGTATACTGATTAATACTTTTATTTATTTATGTAAATATTAGTTTGGATGCTTATGCTTTGTGAAAATATCATTATTTCTTTGAGAGAAATTACCTTTCTCCATTTGTTTAAAAAATCATATAATTGTTATGTATCAGCAAGTTTTATAGTAATTTTACTTTGGGCATATATCCCAAGGAAATAATGGAATATATGTAATTTTGTTTTTGAACAAATATTACTTTGTAATGGAAAAAATTTGCAATTTTATTCATAAGATCTGAGGAAAGCATGGATTTAAGAATTAATAAATCAACCACAGATTAATAATAGGTTTTCTCCTTTATAATTTGAAATCCAAAGGTAGCAAACTACTTTTTTCTTAATTGTCTCATTGCACATCTGATTTTAAATGACTGCATCACCTTATTAAAAACTTATTAAGAGGGGCACCTGGGTGACTCAGTTGATTAAGCGTCTGCCCCGCTCAGGTCATGATCAAGTACCTGCATTGGGCTCCCTGCTCAGCAGGCTTCCTGCTGAGCAGGGAACCTGCTTCTCCGACTGCTGCTCCCCCTGCTGTGCTCTCACTCTGTCACTCTCTCTCCCCCCGTCAAATAAATAAATAAATAATATCTTAAAAAAAAAAACAAACTTAAGATAGAGGCATTCTGTAACTTAGGAGCATCCAACTTAAAGAGTATTACGTACTCTACTAATGGATATCCGGGAGGAAAGTGTGATCCTGAGAATTGAAAAATAAGAATTCTTTGTACCATTTCAGCTGCAAGGTCTAAATGGACTTCTGTAGCTGGGAATTTAATTATTACTTTTAAAGTTACTTATAAAATTAACTTTTTTTGGTAACAGCTTTATTGAGATATAATTCACATATTATCCAATTCAATTATCTTTGAAATCTTACAAAGACAATTCAAAATAAATACTTTGCAGCTATAATCTGACAGTTATAATCCAGCAACCATTTTCTGATAAATTCCATTGCAGATTTATGTATTTATTAAATTCATAGTTTTGACCTGGTTGTAATCATAATACAAAATTTTGTTTTACTGCCTTCACTTAGTGTGGAGCAAAACACCTTTTCCAATAATAAAAATTATTCTTTTGTTTTGTTTTTTAAGTAAACTCTACCCACAATGTGGGGCTTGAACTCACAACCCTGAAATCAAGAGTTGCATGCTCTACTGACTGAGCCAACCAGGCGCCCCAATAATTACTATTCTTTATGGCCATAAGACATTACATCTTTTTATTTTTTATTTTTATTTTTTTTAAAGATTTTATTTATTTATTTCACAAAGAGAGACAGCGAGAGAGGGAACACAAGCAGGGGGAGTGGGAGAGGGAGAAGCAGGCTCCCCGCTGAGCAGAGAGCCCGATGCGGGGCTCGATCCCAGGACCCTGGGATCACAACCTGAGCCGAAGGCAGACGCTTAACGACTGAGCCACCCAGGCACCCCAGACATTACATCTTTTTAAAGTACCATAATTAAGGAAGTCATTTCCTGTTATATATTGCTTTAATTTTCACTTTTCATGATAAAAATATGCTTTCATAAGCACATTTATGTAAGATGTAAAATGTAAATGTGTAAAAAGCACATTTACATAAGCACATTTACAAAAAAAATATTGTTTGAAATAAATTCCCTTAAGTGAAAATGTTAAAAGGGATAAAGCTAGAATAGTGGCAACTATAATACAAAGATAACCTCTTCAGGCTATTTTATTTTAGTATATTTTTTATTTATTAAGTAAGCTCTACACCCAATGTGGGGCTTGAACTCATGATCTCTAGATCTCTAGATCAGGAGTCACATGCTCTACTGATTGAGCCAGTTAGGCATCCTATCTTCAGGCTATTTTAAAAGTCTCTCAACATCACAGCACACAAAGGGATTATGCAGATTTGCAATGCCATCTACAAGGATTGAATGAATGTACTTGGCTTCCCTGTACTTAGAGTTGTCAGTTAATTTTGTTAATTTAATATTAACCACCATTTATGTGGGAAAATGTATGTAATCTCCAAACACTTTACAGGGATTAGCTGTTTTGTTTTTTGTTGTTTGTTTTATTTATTTTGATAGAAAGGCTGCAAGAATGGTACAAAATTTTTTGAGTCATTTAAGTGCAAATTGCTGACATGCTTCACCCTCTTCCCCAAGTACTTTGTGTATTATACTCAGGGACATCCCCCTACCTATATTAACTTAATGTTAGCCAATTTAGTCAACTACCTTTACTAGATTTGGTTCTGGGCAACTTTTGGTTATTTCTAAAAATTACATTAACTTGCTAAGTAAAAATTTGCCACCATCAGACATATTCAGAACCATGTACTTGGTTTGAAGTTAGGCCCAGGAGAGAAGTTCCAGAAATATATAAAGTGAAACAGCATATTTGAAATTAATGTGAAGTCTTTTTAGAAAACAACTTTGAGGGATGCCTGCGTGGCTCAGTCACTTAAGAGTCTGCCCACCCCAAATAAATAAAATCTTTTTTAAAAAAAGTTAGCTTTAATGTGTTTGCTTTTTAAGATTGACTTGATTAGCTACCGCTTGCAGTTAAGATGTGAGTCCTACTTTTAAAGATGTTACCAGTCCATGTAAAATCACTAGGACCTTTTTTATACCTGAGCAGAGGATCTGTGATAGTGAAAAAGAATTAAAAACTTTTACTATGGGGGCGCCTGGGTGGCTTAGTCATTTAGCATCTGCCTTTGGCTCAGGTCATGATCCCAGGGTCCTGGGATCGAGCCCCTCATTGGGCTCCCTGCTCAGCGGGGAGTCTGCTTCTCCCTCTCCCACTCCCCCTGCTTGTGTCCCCTCTCTCGCTGTGTTTCTCTCTGTCAAATAAATAAATAAAATCTTTAAAAAGATGTACATAAAAAATGTACATAGTGAAAAGACTTTCACTATGTACATTTCTGTGCTGTAATACTTTTTTTTACAATAAGCATATATTATTTTTATAATTTAAAATAACTAATAAAAATTTGTTTTATAAAATTTGTAACTTGAGAAAGTGACACGAGTAATGGCTTTTTTTTTTTTTTTAAAGATTTTATTTATTTATTTGAGAGAGAGAATGAGAGATAGACAGCACGAGAGGGAAGAGGGTCAGAGGGAGAAGCAGACTCACTGCTGAGCAGGGAGCCCGATGCGGGACTCGATCCCGGGACTCCAGGATCATGACCCGAGCCGAAGGCAGTCGCTTAACCGACTGAGCCACCCAGGCGCCCCCTTTTTTTTTTTTTTTAAGATTTTTAAGTCCCAATACAGGGCTCTATCCCAGGACTCTGGGATCATGCCCCAAGCCAAAGGCACACTTAACGACTGAGCCACCCAGGTGCCCCACGAGTAATGGCTCTTTGACAAAGGTTTAAGCTGAAGTATAATGAGGATACTATAATCTACAGAAGTGTTGTTCTTTTTTTTAAAGATTTTATTATTATTATTATTTTTAAAGTTTTATTTATTTAAGTAATCTCTTCACCCAACGTGGGGCTCGAACTCAGGACCCTGAGATCAAGAGTTGTGTGCTCTTCTGACTGAGCCAGCCAGGTGCCCCTAAGATTTTATTTTTTTATTTTTTTATTTATTTTTATTTTTTTTAAGATTTTATTTATTTATTTGAGAGAGAGAGAGCGAGAGCAGGAACACAAGCAGGGGGAGTGGGAGAGGGAGAAGCAGGCTTCCTGCTGAGCAGGGAGCCTGATGCAGGGCTTGATCCCAGGACCCTGGGATCATG